ACATGACAAGAGCCCTTTTTTTCTTCTAACATTTGTTCTCTATTTTAATGAGTATCCTCCCAAGATTGTATGTAGTCCTTTGCTTTTTAGAAACTCTGCCTTAGTTCTTTGTTGGGACAAAACACCTTACACCATAAATTAAAAGAGGAAAAGCTTATTTTGGCTTACAGTTTGTAGAGGTTTCAGTCCATAGTCAGCCGGCTCTAAGGCAGTGTGGCATGGCAGTCAGGCATTACAGAGGATAAACAGTCCATGGAAGAGCAGACAGGAAGCGGCAGCAAAGCAGGAACAGCAAGCCTCCATTTCCCTTTTTATCCCATTGAGGCTACAAGACTTTTGGGTGGTGTCACTTTCCCATTATCCACACCCAGAACTATGCTAAACCAATAACTAATTTAGTTATCACACCCTTAATCCATATTTACACACCCTTAATCCACTCCCACACTGGAGATCCAGCCACCTCCGAAAAGCCTCACCTATGAGTTCAAGAGGCTTTGAGGGGACAGCTAGATACAGGCCACAACAAACTGTATTCCATTTCCTCCCAAACATTTATCTATTCCCATCACATCAACTCTTCTTCACCTCTTCAAAACCTCCCCTCAAAGTGCCCCGCACCTCATGCCTTCTGCTAGAGTCTCGTAATGTCCCACATGTGTCTATAACAGAACATCTAGCCTTGAAGTCATTGTCCTGATTTCATTCTGTTTGTTTGACAAATCACATAAGCATAAAGTTGTAGTTTTTCTTTTCCCTCATTATTTTTAAAACATCTTCTTTGCTAGAAGGCCTCTGCAAAGTTTTCAGGATTTTGAATATAACCTGTGGTGTTTTTTATTTCCTCCTGTATGGAGCACCTGGAACGAAGTCCATGTATATTCACTAACATCTAGTCTATAATTTCTAGGGAAGAGGCTGGTTTAGGGTCCACAGGAGCTTTCAAGTCATCATTTCTAGGAAACCCAAGTATGTCAAAATGGTTTTGAATACAACTGAATATATCTAGTATACACCAATGCTGTGTTTTTGTTTGTTCTGAGACAGGATCTTACTATGTAACCTAGGCTGGCCTTGAACTCACTATGGAACCCAGGCTGGTCTTGAACTTGTGGCCATCCTCCTGCCTCAACTTCCCCACTGTTCCACTACTAGTACTACAGCTATGCAACACCATGCCAGGCTAGATGCTGTATTTAAAAGCTATGCATACTAGTCTTTGTATCACAGGTATATACAAAAAGCAAAAAAATGACTTAAATTACTTTCACCAAAATGATTAGTCTTAATTAATTTGTAAAAACATTTACATTTCTGGATCAATAATAAGTGCATGTTTCACTGAAAATAAAACCTAAGTGGAAACTGATCAGCCTTGAAAACCAGAGATGTCAGCCCCAATCACCCTATTCTTCCCTTACTGCCATACAGGGTAGCCAAAGTGAGGCAGGTAAGGCAAGGGTAAGCTGATTGGGGCTGACATTTTTGATCTCTAGTTTTCAAGGCTATTTTCTTGTTAGGTCTTATGTTGGGGGAAATGGTATTTGTAATTCCTATTTGCTCATAACTTCATTGTGGCCCTAAACACACTTTTAATACAGTGAATTTCCTTGTCTGTCTCCAGAGCAAAAGAGTTCATGCAAGGGTACATCTCCTTCATTTTTGTGCTCCTAGTACTTGAAACAAGAGTTTGATGCAAAATGTGTGGGATGAATGTAAAATACTGTACTGCATTCCAGCTATAAAGTTATGATGACTTTTCCACTACAAAAAATTAAAAAGATGCCATCCAACTATGCTCAGAAAATTGAAATGTGAAAGGAGTTAACTCATTTTCAGATAAAAATAGAAAGTGTTCTAGCACTCTTATTTTTATAAACCTACAATCACCTAGTCACTCTTCGTCAATTAGACTTAAAATCTCAAGTATTTGAGTTGCTTTCTTCTTCCCTTCTGGCATTGCCAATTTGTTATTTTCCTGAAAATTCCTCACATCTTATTTATTGCTCTGATTCAAAGTGTAAATGTGGGTATTTAAAAATATCTCTTAATATACAAACTATATTAAGATTGTGATTATTAGAGTAATTAGACTAAAAGACCAACTACAGGGCCAGGGATTTAGCTCAGTGATTCTGCCACCTGCACCAGAAGCGCAAGGTCCCAAGTTCAATTCCCAGTACCCAAAAAAAAAAGACCAACTACTTGAAGCTTGATGGTCTTTTTCACGTTTTTCTTATTTGAAAAAAGATGAGGGCTGGGTAAAAAGGCTGGCAGGAATAATTCCCAGTTGTTGGATACTGACAAAATCAGAATAATTCAATGCAATTTTAAAAAACAATCTGTTGATTTCACTGGCAGAACCATTTAAAAGCAAAGAATCTGGACTTAAAACTGAGATGTCTGATATTTTACAGTAAATCATATGTAGTTTTGTAATGTAAACTTCTGTCCATCACCTCCCAAATTTGAATTACCTCCAAACACCAATTCTTTAGGCAGGGAATTCTTTTGAAGGTTAGAGAAGTGAGGTCAATTGACCAATAAACAATCATTATTTGCCAGATTTTTTTTTTTTTTTGGTACCAGGGATCAAACAGATTTGATGCACTGTGTCAGAGAATAGAGACTGTGAATGTGAGCTTGGGGAGAAATGCACACAAAGGCCTAACCTGTAGAACGCGGAGCCAGAGAACACCAGGGAAAGGCAGGCAACAGCCCTCAGCACAGCTGGAAAGGGCACAGCATCTACTGCACTTAAAGGAGGAGGTGTGAGCCAACTATTACGGACTCAGATGGAGGCACTTAAACACTTGGATTACACAGTTCGAAAGTGAAAGAGACATCAGGAAAAACTGTAAGATCATAACCTTAAAAAGAAGTTGCCCATATATGAACTGGTGGAGAGCTCTGGAGCATGGCACATTCACTTGTAAATGGTGAAGATGACTTGAAGCTCTCTTGAAGGGGAGTGCCAGTAAACAGAAGGGGGCTCCTCTTTTAAGAACTGCATTTCACTTGGGCGCAGAGGTGGGGTTTACTCCATCTTGATTAGGTTCATTCTCATCAGAGGATTTCAACCTTGTGTCATCTATCTGCTCTGCTTGCTTTCAAAAGTTAACATATTTGCTTTTAATCAGCAAAATAATTCTACCCCAGGAACATGCCAGAGAACATAACCCTGTATGTTTTGCTGTCTCTCATCAAAATCAAAAGTACAAAAAGATACATCACCAGAGGACGACAGCTTAAAAGATATGTCGGTTGTTTATCTTTATAATTTGTCTATATTTCAACCCTAGATCAGATCAAAACTTCATTCATTAAGAGAAATATCTGGGCAGTATTTTCACAGGGCTTCATTTGGTTTTGTTTTTGACAAGTCCCTCTACTCCAGTAAAATTGCTTTTACAGAATTGAGCTTTGTTGTGATTTCCTTTGCTTCCAGGTTATTGATTTTGTGGGTGAGATGTATTGAAGAAGTTAGCTCAGCCTGATGCTTCATAAGCCCCCTGGGAGGGTCTCTCAGACCTTTAGGGGAAGGACTCGCTTTATAGACCTTGCACGTCTTATGAATATTTAGTCATGTATACATTTAATTCAATTGAAATCATTAATTTTTCATTCGTAAATTATCTCTTTTGACAAGAATAGGAAATAATAACAGTATAAAAGACCCACTGCTAAAGTGGAATGTGTTTAGCTCACTGCACACATTTTCTGTTTTCAGAGAGATGAACTAAACTATGGCCTCTGTGGGTTTCTATCTTCTTGAAAAAATCAAGTTTCTTTAAAGATCTCAAGAGGCCCACAAGGAAGCATGGGCTGCTTAGTCTCCTATTTTAGTGCAGTCACTTCTGCTTCTCTTCATGGACATAACCTTAGTGGCTGCCAGTGAGGATCCTCACAGCCTTGATTCATTATCCTGGACTGGGAAATTTCTGACATCACTGTGTGCCTGCTCTTTGTCTGGCACCCATCTTTGTCCTGAGTTTTCTAACCCCAAACTGTACCATCAGTGCATCAATAGCTACAACAACTGCCTTTACCCTTTCTAATCTGGCAAGAAGGAAGAATGGGCTAAAAGAAAAACAAGCAAGATTTGCAAATCTATAAGAGGAAAAACATCAACTGTAAAAATCAGGTTTTATTTTAGCTATATAACCCCTAGAAATCAAATTGTGTTACAATTCTCTTTTATTTTTAGAATTCAAAATATAAACATGCTATAAGTTTCAGACACACTAAGTTCATTATGAAGTATATTCTAATAAACATGTTCTTAGATGACCACTCTCAATTGACATACTATAAAACATAGCCCTTCAAAGATTTATCTTCAAAAAATCTTATTTTAAAATATTTAGTACATACATGTACTTATGATCAATGTGTAGATGGAAGGAAAATACATTCTAAAATGAACTCAAGAGGTATATGAATAGAACAACAGACAAGTGAATTAAATTAATTGTTATTTCCAATTATAAAAGCTTCTTTGTGAATTTGGTCATTCAAGAGGTAACACCTAAGTCTTTCTATGGGACCAGCATCACCTTGATCCCAAACCCAGGCAAAGCTCCTACAAGGAAAACTACAAATCAGAATCCTGTATGAATATTGGTATAGTAATCCCCTTTAATAAAATAGCAAATCAAATTTAATAGCACAATAAAATGATTACTATTACAAGGATTACCATGACCAAGTGAAGTTTATTCCTGGAATTCAAGGATGGTTAAACATGAAGGCCAATCAAGTAATCTATGACTTCAACAGAATAAAGGGGAACCTATGATCGTCTCAACTGAAATAGAAAAAGTACTTGATGAATCCCATACTTTCTTCTGACAAAAACATCAAACAAACATGGAATAGAGAAATATGATCTCCACATAATCAAATATCCTACCATTTATACCCATAAATATAACATGTTTAGATTACAAACTACAACAAGGAAACTATGCTTATTAAAAATTCTGATAAGGAGAACTCACCTGCCAAAATTTTCTTCAACTCTCTAAACCATATGTCACAGTGCTCTTCACTGTAATTAATCAGATCAAGTGTAGAATCCTTTAATTTATTGTGTTCCTTTTTCAAGCAGATGAAAAGTGTGATGCCTAATAAAGTGCCACTTCCTTGCTGTTTAAAGAAACAACGCCGTTTCAGTTTCACTGAGAATATGTCTTTGAGCTCAATCGAGTCTTCTTTACATAGCAGATCAAACTTGGAATCACCTGAAAGATTTAAATCTTCAATCAAAATCATTACATCCAGATTTTCAATGTATGAGTAATAGTTAAACCTACAAAATCTTTATCCTTAGTATTTGTATGACTTTTTTTTCTCATCAGCCCCTGTTTTAGATGGAAAGGTAAGAAAAGAAAATCAGGGTCATTAGAATAAATGGAGACAGTTCCTGCCATACAAGGCCTAACATAGCATTCAGAAATTGAGAATATTTAATACATGAAGAATTATATGAACATAAAGGGGTGATCAAAAATATGTTTAATTTTTTAAATTATTACAGTAAAAGATACATTGCCTTTAGTCCTTAAAATACTCCTCTAGCTTTGAACACATTCAATCCCAAAATTCTTGCTAGTTTCTGAAGCAGTTCTGGAATTCCTCTTTCAGGAGCATCTTTATGAGGAATCCTGCTGCCTGGTGCCATGGAACAGAAAGGTGGACTCCTAAAAACATTAAGATGTGTCTTCAATCCACCTTTTTCACCAGATTTGACACCACATGACTTTGGCTCTTCTTCAAAGTCAGGAGATCCAGGCGGCCATGACAGTGCAACCAAAGAAACTCATGAGAGAGGATTTCAAGTCCTTCAGAAAGTGGCAAGCAGGCCAAGATGACTAGCGTCTATAAGTCAAATTCCTGGAGAAGGCTGCACAGACAGCAAACTCTAGCTTTGCTGAGTGCCTCCTAAAGTCCTCACTAAATGTGAAGAGGTGTGAAGCCAGAGACAGAACTGCTCACAGGCTTAACAAACAATGCTGAGATCACCACTGTTTTCCTATCAGTCAGAGAGGAAAAACACTGGAAGTCATGGAACATCCCAGGAGAGTATTTAGAAGAGTACTGGCACACTAATGAGTTGACTCTACCTAATAAACCTAAAAAGAAAACCTCAAAACGATCTCACTATTTCTGAGTAACTTATAAAGTACAAGAATATTCTTAGTAATATAAAATACCCTGCAATTCTCCATGAGAACATTCACAGACACTGAAAGATATTTCAGTCAACCCTACAAAACTAGGAATGCAAAGGAGAAAAAGAGTCTGACCATCATAGGAGAAAAAGTCATGACCTGAAAGAGATGCAGAAATGGCAGGGTGCTAACAACAATGGAAAGCTGAGGTCCTCACACCACTTCTTCAGCCCTCAGAGGCCGCACAATGCTATGCTTAGATTGGAGCAAAGACTCTCAAGAGCTTTAAGCAGTTCCTTGTCTGTGTTCCCAAAGAGTTTCTGACCTCTGCCAAGCATCCTACAAATCATCCTCTGATTGCTCATAAAACACAGATACCACTATAGGAGAAAGAAAGAGGAAGCCCGTTCCTCAGTGGTGATGGCAGTGGGAAGGTTGAATCCAAGTCTGTTTCTCAGGCCTGTCATTTCTTCAGAGGCTCAGATTTCAGGCCCACCTGCAATTTATTTCTGTCGTCTTTCAGTGAGCTAAGAATCAACCACTCTCACAGTACCAACACTACAAGATTTTCTTTGTATAGTAAAACATTCTTAGACAATCACATTATAATCATTACTACAATCAAGGATTCAACTAATCAATAAAATGTTCATATTTGAGCAAAAGTGCTCTGCATACTTTTATGAACCAAATGATTCAGCCCATATTTTTTCTCTTCACAGTGCTGGGGATTGAACACAGGGCTAGGCAAGCACTGTGCCATAGAGCTCCAGTCCAAACCCACCCCTTTTCTATAGATAATAATCAATTAACCTGAGTTAGCAAGACTGACTTTTTCTCTGGTACAGCAATTCTTAACCTACTAGTCTCAGAACCTCCTTAAAATTTTAAAGATTGGGGGACAGACAACCTTTCTTTGGGTAGGTTATATCTATCCATTCATCCCTCTTTAGAAATTTAAATTGGGATATTTTAAAGTAACAGATACATACCCCATACTCTTGTAGGGGAAAAGATGATAAACATAGCCCATTAACTCTGCAAATTCCACTGTGGCCTTAGAAGACAGTGAAAGGGAGAAATAAATACGTTCTTAGTAATATGTACTAAATTATGAAAAATCTTGACCTCACTAATGCTTTGAAAAAGTCCCTGGATCGCATTTTGAAAACACTGCTTAGAGCCGGGCATAGTGATGCACAGCTGTAATCCCAGTGACATCACAAATCGAGGCAGACTTCACAAATTCAAGCCCAGACTGGCCAAATTAGTGACTTAAGGATACCCTATCTTAAATTTAAAAGAAGGGAGGTGGAGTTAGAGATGTAGTACAGTGTGAAGGCCCTAGGTTCAGTCCACAGTATAAGAGAAACAGAGATAGAGATAGAGAGACAGAGACAGAATATGCATATAAAACAAGGAATAATGGAGGGAAATAAACAGGGGAAAAAAAAAAGACTACTGCTGTAAAATACTGTAGATTTTTTTCCCTTTGATCATATCATGAAGTTATAACCTCTTAAAGACTCAACATTCTATTTAACTACAAATTTTGTTTCCACATTTATACTCAAAATTGTCACCAGTTGACTGGTGAGAATCTTTCTAACCTAGCTCCTTGCTGTAACCCATAGATGTGTTTGAAAATAGTCTTTCTTAGCATAGTGTCCTGAGCTCATCTGTATTTCTCTGGAAGTTCTTGTCCTTTTAGGAAAGAATATTATAGAAATTGGAAGCTGGCTGGTGTGGTGCTATATATAAGGGAAACTAGATTCATTCATAGTAAATCAGGACTACATTTGAACTGGTGATCATGTAACCAGTTGAGCAGGTAGGCATATAGTCAGGGTCTCCATAACACTTAGGCAAGGCCAGGGTTATCTTATCCCCTTTCTCTACTGTTAAGAATGAAAGGAAGTAGCCTTGTCAAAGATCCTAGAAAATCCTCACTCTGTGGCATATAAGGGACTATGTGGTAAATAGCGTCCTGTGGAGTTGAAGAAAATTTGTCTTCCATAGGGGAGTCCTGCTGGGTGTCTGCCTCATATGGCTGAATGTGTACAGATAAGTTATGTTACTTTTCCACCTGAAGAAATTCAGAGGTTAGGTTATATTTTTCTAGAAATCAGTCAAACCTTTAGTAAAGTTGAACATCTTTCCATTTATTTTTAATTTGTATTTCTTAAAGAGTTACCTCTATAAATGTTTTTCCTCTTTCTATTTGGTTGGTTTTTTTAAACTAATCATTCATAGTTCAAATAATCTTGAAATTAGACCCTTGCTATATATTATGTAAATAACTTCTAGAGTAATTTTATATTAGCTATGATGTTCTGTCACATGTAAATTTAGTTTTATGTAGTCAAACATACAACACATAAGAGCACAAAAGAGAAGAGGAAAGAAAAAACAAACACTCATTGAGGGAAAGAAAAATGAAATGAAACACTTCGCTTTTCATTTAAAGTCTCATACTATAGTCTGGATTCTTCCATATGCCTGTCCTTTACTCCAGTTAAAAGTAATTCAAAAACAACTCCAACTGGACAGCTCCCAGCACAGAGGAGGCCTCTGGGTTGGTGTGCCACAGCTCCCAGCCCAGAGGAGGCTTCCAGGTTGGTGTGCAGTGGCTCCCAGTGTGAAGGAGGTTTCCATGTCAGCATGTCACAGCTCCCAGCACAGAAGAGGGCTCCGGGTCCATGAGCCACAGCTCCCAGCAGGAAGGAGGCTTCCGGGTAGGAGTGCCACAGCTCCCAGCACAGAGGAGGTGAGCTGCTCGGGCACAAGCAGCAAGGCCCCCCACCCCGAAATGAGAAGACATGTAAACAAGCCTCAGAAGCAGACTTCCAGATCACCTACAGCAACCCCAAAGGGAAACGAGACAGAACACTCTGATACTCAACAACCTGGACTCCCTGAACTAGCAATGAAAGAGGATCTGGAAAAAATGAAAATGGAAATAATTTCTCACATAACAGCAGAGATTGTGCCCATAGTGCAAGACATGATTAATAAATCTAGAGAGAACACAGATAAAAAAATAAGAAGAGCTGAGGAACATGATGGAATCCCAACATAGGAAACAAATGGAATCCATAAAACAGATACAAACAGATTTCCAGGAGATTAAAAACTCCA